AATTAATCATTCCAGCTTTTTTATTTTTTTATGAATACATGAAAAAATCAAACTATAACAGAAGAAAAATTTAAAAATTAACAAGTTCTGTGCCAAATTTTTGAATTTGTACTAAAGCCTGTTTTGTTACAAAAAAAAAATCAAGTTACTGATGAAGAAAATCGATGGATAAATACGAAATAATGAGTGGTCAAATGAAAATCCGCAAAGATTTTTTATATGTAAGTAAATTTCTTTATATAATTCTCTTCTCATGGAGAAAATTTGAAATTTTTTTATGCAAATCTTAACCAAGGTTAGGTTAGGTTACACTGGCCGGCTGTTGCGCCTTACATAGACCCGTTGGTCCTTTGTAGTGCCAGATGGAGGTCCGTTTTACTGCGGTCTAAAGTAGTCGTCGTATAGGACGTCAACGCTTTTTGCGAAGTTCAAGAGTGCCTTAATATCCAGTTTTGAAACCTCCTCTAGTCCTTTAAACTGCGAAGCTCCGAGATAACTAAGACGATTTCTAGCTAAGGCCGGACAGAAACAGAGGAGGTGTTCTAACGTCTCACTCATGCCTTCCTCCCTGCACTTCCTGCATGCGTCACTGTTACTAATGCCCATTCTGCTTGCGTGGGATGCCAGTAGGTTGTGGCCCGTCATTAGGCCGACAACTGTCCTGCACTCCCTACGTGACCGTGTAAGCAAGAAATGGGTGTTTCCTTTGCTGCTATTGCACATGATCTTGGAGGTTTTGCATGTCGCTAATGCGTTCCATCTCCCCCTGATCCGGCACCCAGCTCTTTCGGAAATTTCATTGTAGATCGTTTTTAGCGACTTTTGTATTTCCCGTACTGGTTCGCTAGCAAGACGGATGGCACCTTTGGCAATCTCATCAGCTATTTCGTTGCCTAAAATGCCCTTGTGGCCTGGAACCCAGTATATATGCAGCCGTTTACTCTCGGCCGCCCTGTCTACTGCTTCCCTGCTTCTAAGGACATTTTCTGACGCAATACGATGTGAGATTATGGCCTTAATCGCCGCCTGGCTATCGACATATATATTGATATTTTTTATATAATTTCCTGCGTTGCTAGCTATCTCAGCAGCTTTCCCTACAGCGAAGACTTCCGCCTGGAAAATACTGCAGTACTCTGGAAGCTTGAAGGGTTGCCTGAGGTCTAGCTCGGCGCAATAGACTCCGGCGCCCACTCCATCAGCCATTTTTGATCCATCCGTGTAGATGTTATACGTTACGCCGGCGGGTCGCGTGCTCATGCGCCATCCGCCCTCCTTAACCGTAGCTTTAAACCTTCTTCCCCAGATGAAGCGTGGGGGTATGTGGTCTATTTTGTCCTCCATCCCCCTGCCTATCGAGCTGTGCCCGAAGGTTCTTGCGGAGAATTCACCTAAGGCCATCAATCTCGTGGCGGATTTCGCTGCAGTGCTCTCCACCGCGATGTCGATTGGTGGTAGGCCAAGTAGCCTTTCAAGTGCCGCCGTTGGAGTGGTCCTTAGCGCTCCTGTTATGCACAGTGGAGCGAGCCGCTGTAATCGCTCCAATGGTTTTCTATACGAAATTTTGTTTGCAGCGGTCCACCATACCAGAGCACCGTAGAGCAATATGGGCTTAACTACCGCTGTGTAACACCAATGCATGAGGCCAGGGGATAGGCCCCATGTGGTGCCCAGCATCTTTTTACATGCGTAAAGGGCACCACTGGCCTTTTTCACCCTTTCCTCCACATTTAGCTTCCACATCAGTTTGCTGTCCAAAATTACTCCCAGGTACTTGGTGTGATCCTTGATTGATAGCTCCGCCCCGTTGAGCCTCGGGGGTTTCCACGCGGGGATTTTGTACCTTCTTGTGAACAGTACCGCATCCGTTTTGTCAGCATTTACCTCTAAGTTGACTGTTGTCGCCCATCGATGTACGACCCTTAGAGCGCTTTCCATTACGTTACTGATGGTGTCTAGGAATTTCCCCGTAACAACTATAGCTATGTCGTCCGCATAGGCAATTAGTCTGGGTGCTTTCCCTTCGAATTTTCCCAGAAGCTCATTCGCTACGAGTAGCCACAGGAGTGGTGACAGAACACCACCCTGAGGAGTTCCTCTATGCGCTAGTCTGAGCAACCTGGCTTCGTTCCACTCCGCCTTAATTTTCCTGCAGCTCAGCAGGCTTTTTATCCATAGTAGGATGGCAGACTCTACCTGGGCTGCTTCTAGGCTTTCCATTATTGCCTCATAGGAGACATTATTAAATGCCCCGCTTATGTCCAGAAAGACCCCTAGGGCATATTCTTTATGCTCCAGAGCTTTTTCTATTACCGCGGTTAGTGAGTGAAGTGCAGTCTCAGTGGATCTACCCTTCGTGTAGGCATGCTGCGCCTTTGATATGCTGGCCGACGGCAGCTTATCCCTAATGTAGGCGTCCAGAATCTTTTCGAGCGTCTTTAGAAGGAATGAAGTTAGACTAATTGGTCTGTATTCTTTCGAATAGAGGGGATTTCCCTTGCCCGCCTTCGGTATGAATACGACCCTCGCCTCTCTCCAAAGGACAGGCACATAGTTTAGTCTTAAACATCCCTCGTATATTGTTTTCAAGTATGGTGTCAGCACTGCGGAAATTTTTTGCATCATGGCTGGAAAGATACCGTCTGTGCCTGGGGACTTAAACGGCCCGAAGCCATCGATTGCCCACCGTATTTTTTCTTCCGTTATGATGTCCGGGGGGACATTTTCCACGCTATCTCCTAGAAGTTGCAGATCTATGCTGTCTGTACACCCCGGAAAGTGTGTGTTGACTAGGTCTTCCAGTGAGTCCTCACTGCTTTCAGTCCACTCTCCACATTTTTTACGTAGTAACCTTGGATTAGTCGGGTTCTTGGATAGCAATTTCCTTAGCCTGGCTACCTCGGTTGTTTTTTCTAATTCGCCGCAGAAGCTCTTCCACGACTCCCGCTTGCATTTACGAATCTCTTTCTTGTATTCCTTAAGTACTTCCTTGTATTCCATCCAGCAGAACTCGTCATCGGCTACCTTGGCCAGTTTGAAGAGTTCCCTAACATTTTTCCTGAGTGCTCCGAGCCCCCTGTTCCACCAAGGTGGCTTTGAACCTCGCTTGGCATGTAGCAGAGGGCATGCGATGCAATAAGCTTTATTTAGAGTGTTGGTAAGTGAGACTACCAGTTCCTCCAATTCAGAGTGGGAGTCACTTACCCTATGCTTGGTTAAATTCTTCCTCACTACCCTTTCATACAATTCCCAGTTTGTATTCCTGTGATTTCTGAAGGTTTCGCTTTTTGTACGGGCTGAGAATTTTACCTGAAATCCTACATACCTATGGTCAGAGAACGAGGGTGTACTAAGCACCTCCCAATTCTGTACTCCGATTCCCCCACTAGTGTGGAGTGTTATGTCAAGGACGTTCTTCGAGGTAGGGCCAATATAAGTAGGTTCCTCACCCCGGTTAGCTATATCTAAATTACTTATTAATATAAAGTTTAGTAAAGACTCACCCCTTTCGTTGGTATCTCCACTCCCCCATACTGTGTTGTGCGCATTGGCATCCGCGCCTATGATGAGTGGGCGTTTCGCCTTCTCGGCCTCTCCCACCAACCTCCGGAGCTCGTTTGGTGGCGCCTCCTCGTCGTGAGGCATGTAACAAGATGCAAGGAGTATTGTGTCATCCTTGCCATCCTTCACAGCTACCACCGTCAGATCATCTGAAGAGAAATTAAGATCAATATAAGAGTGTATACTTTTCTTTACCAGTATAGCTGTTCTTACCCTGTTTGTTGCACTCGGGATGTGCGTATAGTAAGTTTGCGACTTTAGTCCAGCTACCACGTTTCCCGACGCTATCCATGGCTCCTGGACTAACGCCGCATCGTAGCCGATCCTCTCTAAATTGAGGAGGAGCTCGGCAGAGGCGACCTTGCTTTTATGCAGATTTATTTGAAGAACCTTCACTGCAAGGATCAGGATTCTTTTCGGGGTCGGGTAGAATCTCCGGATCGCCCTTCTCGGTCTCCTGGAGCTTCAAGGTAGCCTCCAGGATCTCTCCCAGATCCTTCTCGACCTCTCGCTCCTCCAGCGTGTTGGCATTGTTATCGGCCAGGCTTCGCTTCTTCAGGCGAAGGTATACGCTACCTATGCCCCACGCCATCTTCCCGAACCTAGCGTATAGTATGTCTTCGGCCGGCTTGTTGATTTGGAGGATGTAATTTTGGCTGCCATCCTCCTTACAGGAGTTGGTAACCTTTAACACCCTCCAATCTCCCGTCGGCACGTCTGGGTTCTGTCTCTGCAGAAGCCGCAGCGCATTCTCCGGTTTTACCGTGCGGGGTATGAGCACCTTCGCTTTCGGTATGGATGGTATGCAGCTGCGGTCCACAACCTCCAAGACGGCGCCCTCCCACAGGCCTTGAAGCGTCGCAACAGCTTCCTTTACCCATAGTAGAGAGGGATCGTCCTTGCATTTTATTATTTTCACCCCATTTAGCCACCCCGCACCATCGAAAGTTGAAATCTTAACCAAAGATACTTAAAAAGTTATAAAATATTCATTCCAACATATTTGCAGTAAAATCAATTATTTTGTACATAAATAAGTTATATTTCAATAAAATAAAAGTTTTATTCCGTCAAATTTAGTTAAATATTTATTGAGTTTTCTTGAGTGCGTTTACTCCTTTGCGGACTTTTGTACAATATATTGCACAAATCTGAGGTAGCCCTAATAGCTTCCCAAAACAACTTTTGAATATTTATTCTTTACTTTTGGTATTATGAGGCTCTATGAACCTTGTAATTAAGAGGACAAATTTTTGTATTCATCAGGGACGGATTTGACCATGACCGTGATATTGGGTAATGACCAATCTATTATTATTATTATTACACGTAAAGGTTGATGTGCTGACTTAAAACACTCGATTCGTTTGACAGAAATTGCAGCAATAATGAAAATTGCTAGTGCAGCACGAGCAAAGTTAAATTATTTCTCGAAAGCGATTTGCGTAATTTCAGTTGCAGTTACACTTTTCAATTGTTATTTCGGAATGTGATTTCTGCAAATCTGCAAAAAGGACTTTCTGGCTGTTTACACGGGAAAGTAGGCTTCCGATTTCGAAGTTTGACAACAACATGCGTAGAAAAACGCTTGCATTGCCACGTTTAACCGCACCTTAACTGTGGTAAAAATTTCTGCTCTTTAAATTTCAATTTATATCGGGAAGAATTGTTAGAGCCCTATTCGCGTGTTGTCGCAGCCATCAATTATCATAGTTCAATTGTTATGATCGTGTCATTAACTGTAGTCATAGGTATGCACAGTCAATAATGACAAGCGAAAAGCTCGTTTTATTTGCCAATTGCGGCGAAAGTTTTTCTGTAGTGAAACAGCTGTTCTTTGTTTACATTTTAATTGTTCGTTTTGACCGCCACTGCAACAGACTGGATTTATTTTAAATAATGGTAATGGTTTTCGAAATGCCGAAAAAGTGAGTAATTTTATAATAGGTAAATTTATTAATTTTATTATGAAATCGTGAATTAACAGGCGTGAAAAATATAAACGCACCTCACAAGAGCAGATGCAGTTTTGTAACGACCACCCCGAACTGCAAATGGGTAAAAACTGTTCAAAAAAACTGTTGTCCCGGAGTCCCCTCAGAAGTCTTCTTCTCTGAATAATTTCTTCTTGCTCCACATCAATAGACGCGCGCATAAAAATTATTTCCTCCATGATTAATATTCTACGGTGGATCCTATTATGATATGCAAATGCAAATGGTATCTTTTTATCACACCTACTTAGGTAAATAAATTGGTTTTATTTAATACAACTTTGTATCTTTTTTCTGCAAAATTGGTAAAATTTAAAATATTAACATATGTTTTAGCGTTGTCACGTACTCAATAGGTCATCACAGAAATAATAACAATTGTCACCGGTAGAGCTTTCAAATTGCCTTCTGCATACCTAAACGTGAAAATTGATTATAAGCATGACAATAGTTATAGCGGCAACTTTTGTCATTGCACGCGAATAGGGCTGTTAATCACATTATCCTCATAATGCGATATGGCGTTCGATACGATACTAGGGTTCTGGTGCTCGATTCCAAAAAATATCGTCTTAAAACTATCGAGTAGAAAATATCGGTATCGAATGTCAAAAGTATCAATATGGTATCGTATCATATCGAAATTCGTGTCCCTTATTCAGTCTGGTTGCAGATTTCACCAAGGTAACGTAACGCTCTGCTGTTGATTATTTTTCTTCGTAATTTTAGCATACGCTTGCTTTTGTGTAGGAAGAAGAAGAAGAAGAATAAAATTTAAACACCGTAACCATCTGGCCAGCCAGCATTTCAAAGATATGATTCTAACAAAACGGTGCCCGGGTATTAAACAAACGAGTTTTACCAATTTAAATTTTACAAGTACTAAATTCTTCGTATGTAAAAGTTTCTATAAACTAATAGTATGAGTTACTAAAACTTCCAAGATTCATTATTGCACTATACGTATAAGTAAAATATACCAAAGACCCATGCACCGAAAATACCACCTTTAGTACATTTATAAAAAACGTGTGCAACGCACTAATATCACGACAAAATGAGGCTGTGTTGGTGTGCCCAGCATTGCTTTAGTGCATAGCAGTGTTGCCAGAACTTTTTGGGCCGACCGGCTAGATTGGCAAAAAAAAACGGCTAAAAACGGCTAAAATATTTTAGTGAAAATTCACATGCTTTATTTAAATAAATCGCAAGAAACGAAAGACTAGTTAACACCATTAATTTATATCGAGTGTATATTCCTCATCATCAAATGAATCACTATTGTATATATCACCTGAATTCATTAATTTTAAGAGATCGTCATCTACAGTAAAATTATGGCAGCAGTTTACTTCGCGTTTTAAACCGTATCTTATATATAAAATAGCGTTTAACGTTTTAACGCACATTGGATTTCTTTGCTTAGTTTTTATTATATTCATTGAACTAAATATTCGCTCTACTTCTGCATTACTTATAGGCAAAACAAGAAAACTAAAAACTAGGTTGGAAAGGTCAGCAAAAGGGTTTTCTCCTAGGGCATTTCGAAATTGATAAACTTCGGCCCAAAATTTTTCAGTTGAGTCTAAATTACTCCAGGTATGTAACGTTAACCGTAGCCATTGCATCTCTATGGATGTTATTTCGTCGGCATTATATTTGTGTTTTTGTTGCTGTAGTTGAACAAATACTTTTGGTTTAATTACTCTTAATGCATTTCCAACCGAAAAAGTAAATTTTTTTAGTGTGGCAATATTTGTAGGGAGGAGTTGGCGTAATTCCTTTATTAAAGTGATAATAAAATAGCGACCATTTTCTCGAATTATTTTCTCGGCTTCGTGGTCAAAAGCGTTTTTGCTTACTTTTGTTTTTAAATACTCTTCAAAACTGTGATAAAACTGAAGAAATGGAGCAAGGTATGGTTCCAACGGGGAGCATATAGGATCAAATGTGTCCGTGCTAATAACCACTAGAGAGCATTGATGCGAAAGTAAAACATTGAGTTCATTAAAAGTCTTCATTGGGTCTGCATTATTGCTTTCGAACAACTTGTTTACTTTTTGCACCTGAAAATTAGGCAAATAGTAAAATCCATATATGCAATACTCCTATATTGGCAGTAAGAGCTAGTACCGTCCGAAAACACTACAGTACAGATATATCAATAAACACGTACGAAAGAAAAGGAACATACCATTTATAAATAAACATGTACACAACACATCTACAAAACCGGCACTCAAGTACACAATACATTGACAAAAACAGTACTAGACTGTCTCGCTTTGATTTCGGAATGCTTACACATTGAGATGTTAGCTTACTATCAATATAGAAGTATTACATATATGGTAAAATCGGCTAAAAACGGCTAACTTTTTTTTTACAAACCGGCTAACAAATCGGCTGCCGGCTAGATCGAATTTTCTCCGGCTAGTTGCTATCAAAACCGGCTAAATCTAGCCGGAAAACGGCTAAAATGGCAACGCTGGTGCATAGCTGGGCACACCAACACAGTCTCATTTTGTCATGGTATTAGTGCGTCGCGCTCAGTTATGGTTGCCGCATTTTTTATAAATGTACTAAAAGTGGTATTTTTCGTGCATGGGTATTTTGGCCTATTTTGCTTATACCTATAGTGTAATAATGAACCTTGGAAGTTTTTAGTAACTAATACTATTAGTTTATACAACCTTTTGCATAAGAAAAATTTAGTACTTGTATAATTTAAAAAAACTTAAATTAGGTAAACTCATTTGTATAATACCTGGGCTCCGTTTTATTAGAACAAATTCTTTTATATGCTGACCGGCCAGATGGTTACGGTGTTTAGGTCTTATTTTTTAACCGACTTCCAAAAAAGAAGGAGGTTATCAGTTCGTCGGGATCTTTTTTTTTTTTTTTTTTTTTTATGTATGTTACCGCATAAGTTTGGACCACGTCAACCGATTTCGATAATTCTTTTTGCATCGGAAAGGTAGTGTCTCAGAGGTGGTCCCATACTAATCTGGTTAAGATCCGATCAGTGGATCGTGAGATATATATATATATTTTTTTTTTTTATATGAGAGTTGAAGTCGGTTTTTTTCTTGCTAAAAATTACTTGTTTCATATAAGTAGGTATTTAGTCTTAAAAATAGAGTATAACTTATAAATATTATTCATTAAGTATTTTTGGGCATAAACCAGCATTTACATTTCTCTATCGATTTCTTTTGATAAAAAAATTTTATAAAATAAAGTATGCAATGTGTGCCCTAGTGCGTCGCGCTGAGAAGCACTTTTCTATAATTGCACTGAGCGGAGCGTTTTTTTCATTTGTTTATGGTTAATGGTCGTATTACCACACAACAAGCATTGGGCATTATTAGCTTTTTTTAAAACTAAAAACTGTAATTGGCACTCATACTCAGACATTTTGGGCATTGTTACATATATAGGTGGCAACCACGCGCTAAAATTACGAATA